ACGAGTGACGATGAGAAGTCCCGGATTTCGTGCCTTCTAAATCATTTTTAAAACTTCTACACATATTATGTGTATTTTTTAATATATTAACAATCTTCGATTTTCTTTGTTATCTTTGTTTAATATTTTGCAAATATAATTTGTTTTTGCTGTAGATGCACACAAATGTATTGTGTCTAACCATTAATTGGAAAATATTTCTACAGAAGTCATGAAAAGTATACATTTTGATACACACAGAAAATACAATAGGTAACTAATGATTTTTATTTAGGTTTATAAAAGAGGACAAGATGACACTGGATAAGTTATCTGAAATAATTTGAAGGAATAGAAGAATTTCTGGTTTACAGATGCAAGAAATTTGTAATATGCATTTTTTATTAAATGATCAAGAACTAAATGACGCCCAGAAAGAAATCGATATTGAGGATTTGCAATCAATGGAAGACAGCATAGTTCAGTAACTTAATAGTTTGAAGATACTGGAAAAAGATGAACTAAAATACTTTAATTTATTTATGTATATTGTTTTTAATAATGTAAAATTAGTTAGATTTGTTCAATGCATTACTGTATATTTTAATATACTTCTTACCTGCATTCGAGTGCATCATTAATGGTTTATCGTTGAGCATTGTGACGCTTTTTCATTGACTACTATAATTAAACTCCCCATCAGTTTAGCATTTGTTGTATTGTTACAACCTACTTATTCGATTACATACATTTATATAATCCTTATAGACAGGAGCGTAATATGACCATTATAATTATACCGGGATATCTAACTATTCTGAATCCGGTTGTTTGCAGCCTAAAGTATTTTTACCTGGTTTGGAGTACAACTATCTCTCTTTTTATTAGCACATTAATAAGCGTTTCCATTGATATTGGTACATTGACCATTTTTGTTACCTTTATTTTGCACATAACAAGTAGTAAACTTTATTATTATTTGTTCCCTATTCAGAATATGATTTTATTTTGGAGTATCTATAATACTGTTAATATTAAGCACAAAAAAAACTATAAGAATGTAAATGGTTTTATATGGTAGTAATCTGTTTCCAACAAAGCTATTCTTTATATAAAACCAGTAAATTTTGTTTACTCTATCAGTTTTAACTTGATTCACACATTATTCAGATTTTCAGGGCCGGCGTAAGGTGAGTTCAGAGGTTTCCCCGACCCAAGCTTTATAAATTTCCTAACGTATTTAAATTTTTTGCAAAGGAAAAGTCCATACAATTTTTATTTAATAATATTTTATGATCCTCTAATTGTTTTTAATAAATTTAATTAGCATGTCAAAACTTGCATGATACTGAGAAAATCTACCACACGGCCCTGTTTTACTTTAGTAAACACAGATGCAAACGTTTTTAAATTATATTTTGAATGTATGTTATTATTTTTAATTAAAGAATACAATTTTGAAAAGTATAATATTTTATTTTATATAGTATAAACAGAGTTAAAATAATATTTGGTTAAATATACGCATTTTAGTTTTAATATCTTTAAAGCTATCAACGGATCTACGTGTCTTTTGATGAATTGTCTCCAGTTTTTTGTATGATTCATACAGGATCTGGAATGAGTATGCTGGGTCATCTTCAGACAATTCTATGTAGGTAGCTTTCAGGTATGTAAGTTTCTTCTCGAAACAAGAAAGATTCATCATCTATAATAAAAAATGTCAATTAAATTACTTTATTTTAATCATAACGTGAGACATTTACCATTCGGTAAAAATATACATCCCCTTCATAAATGATGGTCTTATAATTATTAATTATACGTACACATCTACGGTTCTTAGTAGGTTCCAGATTCTGTAGAGTCTTACGTTTATCGACCAACCAATATTTTACCTCCGTTGCACTGACCTGGAGCTCTGACAAATATTTTTTATAGTCACTCCTCAACTTTCTCATCTTGGTAACATCTACAAATAAAAACACAAAACAAGAATTCATTGTATTTTTTTTAAATTAAATATACATATAACCAGGGCCTTTCTAAGGTATTTGGCGCCCATGGGCTGCTAAGAATAATGCGTCACTCTTCATAAGAAAATGCATGGGACGGGAAGCCCAAAAGACTAGCGTCCCAGGACAATATCCACCAATTTCGCCCTACATATAAGCGATTAAAAATTTAAGTGGAAAATGGAAGACCATTGATTATATGGCCGACGAATGGATATTCTGTCAAACTACGTTTATTTAACATATAACTTACACTCGTTCCGCAGTCTGTTTTCAGATTCGTCCATAATGAATATTAATTATCTCTAAAACTATTCAAACTTATCAGACAATAGTTTAAGAAAAGTACTTTCTAGACACCGGTATATTTTAATGACGACGGCGATGAGAACCACTTTACATTGTTGAACGTATTTTCAACCAATAAGATTCATGTCCGGTAAAATACCAACTTAATATTTGAATTTACAATTGCAACGGATTTATTGCAAGTTTTTATGACAATCATTATATTATACAAGACAACACATTCATGTTTCTCTGAATTTAAACCAAACAAATCTTTTGTAAAGTACAAATATTAGACGTTATTTATATTTTTATGACCCGTCTCCTTAGTTTTCTTCAGTTGGTATTATCGTGGAATTCTCTCGTTGGTCAAAACACTTCTGTGCATTTGATTTCTTCGTAAATGAAAATGGAATTGGTAACTAATGATTTTTGTTTTAATTTTATAAAAGTGGACAATATGACACTGGATCATTTATCTGAAATAACTCTATTAACAGAAGGTAGAGGCTTTCAGATGCAAGAAATTTGTAAACATTTTGCATGTTTGATTTTTTTTTAGTAATATTATCTTTTTTTGCAGATACTCTTTATTTAAAAAAAATATATTCAAGAACTGAATGACGCCTTGAAAGAAATCTATGTTGAGGACTTGTAACAAATAGAAGACAACATTGAAGATACTGAAAAATATGTAACAATATTATCTAACAGGGCAGAAAGACCTATGGTCAATATCCCTTTGAACCAGTTGACTTTTTTTTTGGTTTATGATATTTTTATTTTGTAATTTTCTGTTTCAATAAATATTATTATTATTTAATTTAATGTATTCATATAAAAATAATCTGGAATTTTAGTATTTCTTTGAAGCCGCTCCTGTATATAGCTATATATCAAGGGTGGCTAGACTTTTTGCAACAAGAGCCGCAACTAAACTTTTTGGTATAATAATTTAAAGAAAAAAATAATCATAATATAAAATATATATACTATTTGTCTCTTGAAGAGCCGCATGCGGCTCGCGAGCCACAGTTTGGCCACCCCTACTATATATTAATACATATTTCTACCTGCTTTCGAGTGCAGTATTATTGGTTTATAGTTGAGCATTGTGATGCGCTTCCATTGGCTGTGGTAATAATTACACTCCCCATCACTTCAGCATTTGCGCAGCTTGTTGCTTTCTATTATATACTCAATCGATAGCATAATTTTAGGAAAAAGGAATATGATCCTTATAGACTTACACGTTCTAACGTGAAATAATTACACTACCAATTTTAACTTTGCAATAAAACTTTCTTCTTTTTAAAATGTATAAATAACAAATTGTCAACATCCTTTTACTGATCTATTTAAAAAGTAAATAAACTGTTAACATGACAAAAAAACAATTATTTCTGATTTAATATTTTTCTATTTAGCTTTACTGTTATGTTAATTGTTTATCCAGAATTTCCAGACAACCTGTTTGCTTTAATCTATAACAAATTTAATTGTTTATTCAATGATGAATATTTCATTCTGAAAGTATAATTTATATTGAGGAATCCTTTAAAAATAGTATAACTAAGGAATAATAATAATATTTTCATTGAAATCTACATAGCATAACCTTAAATTCAATATGGAAATGTAATTAGCCCTTAAATATTGGTTTATTGTATTGCTTACAATAAATCAGTTAACCTAATTCAATAACGAGAAAAAACACAGGACTTAGAAAGGATTCCTGGAAAAGGTTGTTAATAATCAATAGAAAAGAGACAATTTGGTATTGATGAGATGGATGTGATCCTGAGGATCCTAATGATAAAATAATAATATAGAATACAGTTCGAAGTTATTAAATATATAAATTACATGATTTAACATCTCAGTGAAAAATAAAACAATAGTGTGATTGTTGATACAGAATTAGCATCAGAACTGCGATTTAACATTTGGCTATTGAGTTAAACGCAAACGACATATCACGTCTGAATCAGCAATTTTGTATGTAATTTTGCATTTCTTAAATATTTCGTGCAGATGTAACATTCATTGATAAGACAATAAAGAAAATGCAACTTTTCATTTTAATTCCATAAACTGTTTTAAGATTGTAAAGATTAAAAAAATATATTTATTTATAAAATATGTTTCTCTTCGTATACAAACTATGCAACAGCCAATTGTTGTGTAATGTGTTAGATTAATTGAGCAATCAGTCAATAAACGACGAAACTATCGAAAAAAAAAAAATTTATAACATTTTACTCGACTTCACAATTATACTATATTGTTTTTATGTGGAGCAAAGAAAGGCACTTCTCTAGCAGAGGTGTAACTTCAGTTCAGAGGCTCCAAGTGATCAAATCCCATAATCCCTAAGTGAGATTATGGGAATGCATGGAGGCCTTGGCCACAGTTGCGCCTCTGTTACGTACCTACAATTACACCATCATTTAGACAGAAATCTGTCAGCTATATCTGAAAGACAACCAAAATGTATCTGTGTGCAACCCCAAAACGAAAACGGTTTAGAAATATAAATTTATTTAATTACAAATTGGGACTTTTACAACTGAAAATACCTAAAATAAATCGTGCAGTTAACAGCCAATTTTCATTTTATTATATTTAATATTATTACTTCAGCGTACTTATATATTTTCTGTCTTCTCATTTATATATTTATACATTATAGAAATATTCTATTTAAAAATTCTTGGCTAATAACAAACAGTCTTTATTTCGGTCAATTTACAGAATAATATTTGTATTCGTTCAATTCAAATTTCTTTCTGTACATATTAAAAAAAATATTAGAAGAAAAAAATAACAACTTTTTATTATTATTAATAATTGCTTTCTCGTTTTGTTCTTGTTACGACGATTAGCCTGGACAAGGTATGTTATGTTGTTGTTTTTGTATTACAATATTATATATATATAATATAGTGTATAATTTTATTTAATTATGTTTTGTTTTATTCTTAATCAGGTAATAATGACCTGAAGACGATCGCGCAGGCTAATCACAAACAAAATACAAAAGATATTGTATTGAACAATGAACTAAGAAAACTCATTTGTAAGTTGTATTTGGTGTTTTTTTTTTGTTATTTTTTTTAAAACTTTTATCTCTTTTAAACAATAAGTAGCATACAAAATCTTGAAAAATATTCCTTTCTTTTATAATCTAAAATACAAAAGCTGCTAAACCTATTATATTTAATTTATTTATAAGGAAAGTACATGTTAACAATTTCATTCGACGAATTGTAAGATGTACTCTCTTTAATACACAGGTTAGTTCGACTCCTTCCACATAAATTTCCACCCGGAGTTAGCGTACTAAGGAGATTTCATAAAATGCATACGAGGTTAGCGGGTTTTACTCAAAATATTGAATTTCCTTCTTACAATATATATACATTAATTAGTGTGGTGGAAATTGATGTGGAATTGTGTAATTAATTGCCCCTGAATTCTGGATGAAAGGTTTCATGTTTATATATATTTATTCTATATATATATAAAAATTGAACCAAATCGAGAAAATTTCGAACTAAGAAACATTTTGCTGAACGAAAAGAAACTATCAATAAATATAAAATTATTAAGAGTAAATACACCAAAAGAAAAAAAAAAGGATAAATAATTTTCTTTTTTTCACGCGGATTTTAGATATCCGTACAAACAATAAAAAATGTTTGTTTTTGTTAAATAAACTAAGGATTAATTATCTCATACTATGCTTTGTACATTTTGGTTTGACTCTGACAATAATTTATCATAACACATACAGAGTGGAATTTGAAATGATCCGACAGAAAAAGGAAAATAAATGGAAAACATGATTATTTTTTTCTTAATATATAGAAATTATAATATGCAAACGGCGAATAATGACTGTAATGATACACTCTGTATGCCATGAAGAAACTTTTTTGCTTATGATTTTGCTGTTATGTGGTATTTTTTTTTTTGTAGTGCTTTAGACTCATATAAATCCATTTTGATTTGTTGATTTTCCTTTTATCAATCTCTCTTTCTCGTTTCTGTATTTATATTGTAAAATTTAGCCGCTACTTCACTACACTGTACACTAAATTTAGAAGTTCTTTTTATATCATTTGTTTTAATCATGCTAAGCCATGAAGTCCGGGTCACTAAAGTCGTTCTCACTTTCATCACCCGAAGAACTCACGAATTTCCTTCGTTTTTTCTTGTGTCTGTGTTTTTTACTTTTTTCAGTAGTCCGCTTTCTAGCGTTCTGTTTCGTATCACTATCCAATCGTCGATTGGATATAACAAGTTTCGGCACTTTTGGTGGTGGATTATCCTGAGAATTAAAAAATTTGGCGATTAGTAATGAAGATCAACGCGTTGAATTTTGGTTTAAAATACCTTGTAATTTGTTAGAACTACTTGGTCAGCTTCGGTTAATATAGATGTGCTCGACGGCGCCGGTCCAGTTGCGTTAGTTGAGCTCGAATTCATCGTCAGACTGGCATTTGTCGTTGAGGAGTTCTTTTGGTTTTCATCGTCATCCAAGTCGTCCGGGTCCAATTGCAACATTAATTGCTTGAACTGTGTACAGACATTATTAGCAATTAATTATAAATTACAAATAAATCAAGGAAATAGAATAATTTGGGAATAGGGGGTAGATGTCTGTTGTTCACTTACATCTAAGTATTGCTTTATTAGTTCTTTTCGGCCATCGAAGTCCAAGAAGTCCGGCGGCATGCCCTGTTTTATCCTATTGACCGTCGCTTTCGGATTGAAATGTGTATTGCTTTTTCGATTTGCTGTTTTTTCATATACCTTTGCGGGTTCTGACGGTGAGTATTGCTGGATTTTGCTGATAACAAGAAAGGAAATTTAAAAAAAATAAAAAATAATAAACAAGACAACTGTATGAGAAACAATGTATATAGTAATAGTTCATTGTAATTTGTATGTGTACCTATCGCTAAGACCGTAGGTATCTTTGATATGCTGCTTCAAGACAAGCAATAGTAGACATCCCTGTGCGGCCGTAATGCAAGCTTGTAATTGAGACACATCCTCAGGCACTCGTTCTGCTAAAGTATCCTCGTCATCGTCGTCCTCATCCAAAGCGGAGATTTGCTCACCACTCTTGCCGGACGATTCGTTCGCCATTTTCTGAGCATCAGTTATCAGAAGACCCTGTGAAGAAATACGGATTGGCGTTAATGGTCAATATTCTTAATGGCAGCAAGCGTACAATACCTCTCGAAAAGTTTGCAATAAATTCGTTCCGGACACTGAGATCATAACATCTATATGATGCACTATAAATAATGGTTCATCTTGTACTTGGTATGGAAAATATGCTAAATTGTCAGCCAGGTACAACATATACGATAAACTTGCTCGCTGTAAAGAGAAAGAAACCAAAGTAGAACGATTTTACGAAGTTAGTCATAATTATAATACTTACAGCTTGATCATCAAATTGCTTTAATATATTTAAAACTAAGGCACGTCTCTGTTGTCTAGAACTCCTAAGTAGAGAATACAGATATCCATTTAATGCACTTGGGTACTCTCCCTGCTCCTTAATTTTAAACCCCCTAACAATTGAAACTTCTTGCAATATTCTTTGCAATTTATACGACAGACTTATACCTAAAGATGATTTTGCATGAATAAAGCCTGGATATTTCTTTTCGATCTCCTGCAACTGTTTGTCAGCTGTATGCGAAATGAAAACCTCTTGATCCGTACTCATGCATATTAAATAAGGAACAATCTGGATGCGAGAAAAATAAAACAGATATTAGATATCGAGAAGTACAATAATTATAATGCATAGTTACTTGAACAGGATGAACCAATCCTTGTTGCAGCACCAATTGAATCACTTTTAAGGCCGGTGATCTGACTTGCACATCTGGATGCAAATACGATTGTAATATTTCCTTCAGATACAACTGAATGATTGTACTAGCCATACCGGATGAAACGTCACCCATTTCTTTGAGATTTTCTTCTTTAGATCTTTTGGACCACTCTAAATCTTGTTGGATCATGCGACTTTCCTCCTCGGTCAGGTAGCTTTCAATATTATATAGAACCTCACTTTTCATTTTTAATGGAACTTCGTCCGAAGTAAGCATCCGATGATAGAAGCACTTAAGCTCGTCCTCAAGCATAAACTCGTAGTGCCTGATGCATATGGATCCCATTGCCTTCAGGGTATTGCCTTGAATATCATCGTCGTCTTGTTGTAAAAAATAAATAAACATACTGTATATTTTATCTTTAATATCGAGTAACTTCTCTCCCGTGACTTCAACATTTTTAAAATCAAAGTACCTCAATATAAGACCAACGATGAACAGAGACCGTCGGAAATATTGTCGGCATTTAACTTCTCTCAGGGAGAGCTGATGCTCCTCAGAATTTTGTAACCAATTTTGGAATCTCTCCAGATACGAGTAGTATCTGGTAAAGCAATCACGAATTAGTTTGAAATTCCTAGTGACTCGGTTAATGATCGAACCTAAACATGAAATGCAACTCGCGACTATGTGTCTGTCGTGCTTTAGAATTAATTTCATATTATCTTCCTCCAATTGGGCCAGAAACGAATCGCTAGGATGCTCCATTAACGGCACGACCAGTTCCAGCATTTTGGATACCCGCATTATTATCAACGAATCCGCACTCGTCTCGCACTTCAAACTAAGGTACGGCTGCAGAGTTATTGCATGTTCTACAAGCAGTTGCGGACGAATCTTAGCAAATAAAAATAATGTAGTTAAACATGCGATCAATCTATCTGATGTTCCGCCATTGTCGCTAGTTTCCTCGAATTTCAGGACGTTTTCAATCAAACAGTCCACTATCTGTCGACATGCCAGAAGCAAAGCCTTTGGCGGTTCCGTATTGATTTTAGTAGAATCCTCTTTATCCTCTTTCGGCTTGAACAAACTGAGCAGCAGCTGTTCGAACCACTCAAACCCGATGTCCTTGCAAGAAGCAACTACATCGGTGATATTCATCACTTTTCGCAGAAGACCGGTGTCTTTTGGGGACGGCGTGAACCACATGTTTTGGAAGACTTCCATAACGAGTTTCCGAATACCTTCTTCGTCATTGACCCTCCGTATCATTTTCACACATATCTCTGGTATTTTCGGAAATTCAGGACACTCGATGCAAATATCCTTTAGAATTTTTATGACTCGCTTCCTCACACTTACACCGGTATCCAGTATCCTAGCTGACAACATCTCGTAATACTTATTAATCAGTTCAGGCCGGTTCAACACAAACTTTCCAACCAGGTCCACAGCCGCCTCCCTCACGGATGTGGAGTGATCCAAAAACGATAAGTTCACGCCCATTTGCATGTCGTGCCTACCGAGCACCGAAGGATCAGCTTCCACAATCATAGTTAGACATTTCATTGCTTTTGTACGGATAGCAATTGAAGATTCTTTTAACACGATCAGAATCTAGTTGAATATCGATCATTAGTAAAAAAGAATAATATATAAAATTATCAAGTATAATGACTTACCGCTTTTAAGTATCGGTCAAAGCATTGAGAAAAATGACGTTTGGAAGCCAAGTATTGTGCTATTAATTCCGCACTGTTGTAATCGATATAAGTCTCAAAAACTTTGACCATATTGCCGGCACTGACGGTTTCTTTAAATGGACGTATTTTAGATATTAAGAACTTCTTCCTCTCATCCAAATCCTTAATCTTCTCAGAATTCTGCTGATCTTCTCCCTTGTGATTTTCTATTGCTTCATCGCTCTCAGAGTCAGAATCATCATTAATACCTGAAAGGTGATTGTTAAGTCTCGCTGCCCTTTGGGATATTCGACGTTCATTACTTTTTCTATTTCTGTGGTTATCCTTGGAGTTGTGCTTGCCATCTTTTTCATTGTTGGAAATTGAAGACTTCTCAGTGTTACATTCTTTGTACCATTGGACTATATAAAAATGTCTGGCGAATCGGTAGGCCTCGTCGTTTTGAGCATTGACAGCCAAAAAATCTAGCAAAACCCTCTGCAGAAACTGTATCCTCTCCTCGTCGTTCTTCACCTCCAATTTTTGTTTCTGAAATCTCTTACTTGTACTACTACAGAGGCAAAAATAATATTCGTAACACTTACATTGATCTCCTCGTCGTTTTCTTTCATCTCTTCTGACTTAATTTCTTTTATCATTTGATCGATGGTGTTCAGCTTGCACCTGGAGAATACACTGTCCCTCCTAAGTCTGGCGGCAACAACTCCCAAATAATCTAAACTAGCTACACGCAAGGACATGTCTGTGCCTTTGTTGGAAAAATTCGATACCAAGAGTTTCCCCAACAAGTCCAACACTAACTCGGTGGCAGGCCATTCTGGTTTATTAACGGTAGCCAGTAAATCCTGAACGAAGTTTTCAAAGAGAGGCCTGTAATCAATCTCCTCAGTTTTGTTTCCGACTTTGTTTAAAAACGCAGACAGGAATGTTGCTGCCGTGGACAGTGCCTCTCTGCTTTTATTGCAAATCAAAACATCCTTATCCACCTAAAATATAAAAGAAAAAAGAACAAGAATATAATAACATGAACCATGGTTTCGAATTTCTGTTTACTTCTTTAATGCAGTAAGTAAACAATGGTAAAACGATCACAGTAAAATAATAAATTGTGCACATGTATAAAATATACAACAAATATTTCTCTGGATATAAATCGATAGAACATACATACGCATGTTTATATATATAATTACATATATACACACACACACACACATACATACTGCGCAAAGTCAATTATGAGTAACATATGCATAAATATTTATTACGATCCGACCCGGAGTTGGTCGAACGCCAATGAGGTAAACAACCAGGAGTCTAATCAATTCGTAACAATCAAATAACAAATAAAAATTTTGTATCTTCTTTTTAACAATTCATACATGCAATAAGCAGTTATGAACAAATTCTATATAAATAATGATGTGCACAGTAAATTACATTTCCAGAGATTTCAGTTGGATATTAGATCCAACATCTCGAAATTTCTGCACGAAAACAAGGGTATGACTAATTATTAAATATGACATTAGCGATACATTATGTTAGTTTTATCGAGCAGAGAGTTTGAGACATTACATTACTTATTGTTTAATAAATATATGTATATGATTAAGTAAAAGTTATACATATATACATATATCTATAAATATATATATATATATATATATGTATATATTACTAAATTAAGTGTTTTTAACAATATTATACTAACGTTTTTTAAATTGTCCGCGTTTGGGTCTTTATCTCGATCTTTATCCCTTTCTTTTTTTGAGGAGCACAGATTTTCCGGTAAGACGACGACGCACTGAATCAGTTGCAGAACTAAAGCCGTTAGCATTTGTATGTTTTCATCACTATTAAGTTTATACGATCTTAGGCTGCGTTTTGTACTTGGAAGACGTGCAATAGATGCCAGGATATCGTCTAGGAGTAATCTTCGATGCTTCTCGTATTTGGTGAAAATCTATTGAACATAAGAATGGTAAGAATAGTAAGCTAAAAAAAACCGTGGATCATCGGTAGACGTACCGTTGTAACTAGTTTTAGGCATGAAAGCTGCAGTTCGCTGACATTTTCCGTGAAGAAAGGTGAGACGCCCATTGAAGACGCATGCAACACCGATGTATCCGTTAAGATCTGGATGTCCAACAGATCCGAAAGTAACGTAACCAGCTCGGAAATCTTATTATACAGTGTTTGAATGCTCTTCTCCAATACATGCGCGGACTTCTTTCGTCTCCCATCTAAAACAAACATATTACAACTACAGGTCTAATAGACGTCTTAATTGTCTATCTCCTCACCTTTCTTCTTATTATCTAGTCGGTAAGTAACGTCGTAAGATGGAAATATGGTATTATACATTTGGTATTTAATATACAAAACAATTCTATCTATAACATCCTCAATATAAACCCTTTTAGGCATATTGCGTGATGTCAAGATATGCATACAAGTTAATGAGGCGTCGGCGGCGCCCATCACTCGCTCCATTGCTGTTTCGATCCAGATTTGTCGCATACTCTCATTATCCTCCTGCAAAAATGAAGAATTAAGAAGCTGTTTAGCGGGTTTGATGTTGCAAACCAACGTCCGTAATCGGTGTCACACGGTCCGCTCCCCGGATTGTGATTTCCAAGGCGTTAAGTAGTTTCACCAGCTTGTCCGACGGTATCATTTCCATGGCAGAAGATATCTTCAGTTTCGCAGCTTCTGTGCAAAGCTCCTGCACAACATGCCTATTCAGCAGATGTTCGTCCGGCACAAGCCCGTCCTCCCCGATTTCTGATACATCGATTTCACTGTAAAATTTGAGAACATGCTCCACATTCTTATTGAATCTGCCGTACGTGTTGGTTTCCATCAGCTCTTCTATAGATAACTTTTGCATAACTGGTCCAAACTTCTTCTCAACCTTCCGAAGTTTTGGTTTTATAACGGGCGTGTCTATCTTCTCCACATCGTGCCTTCGCTTTTTTCCAACTAGAGCAGAAAATGTATCTGGCACGTAATCATCCTCCTCATCAGCAATATAATTCTTTTTGTTTTTTCGCTTCTTCTTAGTGAAGTCCTCCTCTTCTTCTTCATCTGAGTTTGATTGCTCCTTGTAACTTCTAGATACACGAGCATCCTTCGTCGAATTATTTACTATCCCAAGTTCCTTCGCCAATTTCGGCTTATTTTCTATGAAGCTAGACACGCTCTTCTGTATCAGGATTTGGTCCTCGCTTGATATTCGCTGCAGTCTCACGATTGGCTGCAATACATGTATTGATTTATCCATACCGTCCTCCTCTTGGACCACCTGTTGCTGTTTTAATTGCTGGGGCAGTTGGTCTTGTTCACACCGAAGTTGTTGATGTTTTACATGATCCTGCTTAACCTTAACAGCTGCCACCACGTCCTCCACTGACAGCAGTTCTTCTAAAACTACAGTCTAATATACATGACATTCAAATTTACTGAATTATTAAACACAAACATAAATATCTGCATGTAATTCATTGATTGTTTGTAATTAGTACAATTGACTTGTTACGAATTAATCAAATGCTTCTACTACTATGCAAATATCTTTGTAAGCTAAATTCACAACAATATCTGTAACCACATCGACTCAACAATGCCTGATTTCAATAACTAACAAAGATAACTTGCAACTAATAAATATTATCATAAATACAATTCTGTTATATATTCTGATAGTATTAATGAATTTAGTATTCTTGAAATTTTTATGAACCCAATTCAAATTGTTTGTAAAGTTTTAAAACAATTAATGTTATTAAAATTGCAAATGTATATAACAATTGGTTTACTATGTATAGTTTTGCTATGAGATGAGTTCCCATTTGAGTTATTTATTATAATTAGTTAAATATGTAAAATACATACATTTTCTATTCACGACACAACTTTCTTAAAAATATCTTCACGGAATAACGGCCGGCCGAATGTACTATATTACCAACCGTAATTTCAAAAATAGAACATAACCGCAAAAAATATAAACAAAATATATACGATAGAAAAAAATTTGAAATACCTTTAACGGAATTGAAGTGCTGTTTTTTGAAATCGAGTTCTGCATTAGATTCTGTTGTTTCAATAGCTTCCATCTCATTATCATTACAAGAAACAATAGGTTGCAGTTCATTTGGGATTCCATCAGCGTTTAGTGCGTTATCGTTGATGTTGTCGATTTTGTTTGTTGTGTTGTCGCTATTAATCCGCTCGTTGAAAATGTCATCTTTAAATAAATTTTCTAGTGGAGGCGGCACAACGTCCAGTATTGGTGTGCAATTCAGTTTAACTTCATTAGTATCCACATGCTTTTTGGGTGTCTTCAACTCCAGCACAGGCAGAGGAGGCTCAACTTCCTTTTCTATAGCTGGTATGTTATTTAGCTCCATATTCCCTCTGAAAACATTTGGGTTTTTTGCAATCATTGCTTGCAATAACTCTGGTATATCCTTCTGCTGAACAACAGACGTCTCTGTGCAAATGAAATTGTCCTTAACATCACTGAAAAACACATTAGTTAAATATCTTTTCTTATGCAGGTGCATCAAGGGATTAAACATACATATGATCGGCAGAAGTTTGGCTCAGTGAGTGTACTAGCTGTGGAACAAGTGTATCATCTCTGGCTCTAAGCAAATTTTGAGCCTCCTCAGCAACTCTTGGGTGAAACAACAATGATTTGTTGCTCAGAGTTTGCGGTAATGGTGTTGGCAATGGCATTTCAGGTAACACTAAAAATGTTGAGAGTTATGATTATATTTGTAGGAGATTTACAGAGATTGCTACTTACAGTCTGTGAGACTTGCTACCCCAGCCAGTGTGGTGATGGGTACACTGGGAACGTCCCGATCCATCTCCACAAATGTTAAAGTCGATCACCCAAATACCATGACGTAGTGATAATCAATGAAAAAAGTATATTCAAACGTCTGCTATATAGGAGCAGAAGCCTGAGACTTGTTGCAGAGCATCGGTGCTGCAAATATAACAGAAGCATCGGCTCACCAATAACTATCACAGAATACTATAATGATTATAGCTGTAGCATTACACTAGATCACTGTTTTGTGTTTAAATTGAGCACATTCACAGTTGTTTAGTGATGATTAATTTGGGGGGTCTCTGTTGTAGTGGTCTGCTCAGCATTCTGCGATGGTCAGTGTTGCGGTGGCTGTGTTCTGCTCTTGCTAGGGCGGGGTGGGGGGCTTAGTGTTGAGGCTTTGCTTGCTCTTCTCAATGAATGTATTAATATTTATTTTTTTTTGATGGTTAGACGGTCACATTTTCGTTAACAATCAGAATAAGCTAATGGCTAAGTGACATAACTGTCAACACAGTTATAGGTGACATTTGACACAGCTAACAAACTTTAAAAACCACTCGGAATGCAGCGAATTCCGTTGGACCGATGCTGGGGAAGGTTAGATCTTGGCCCTCGAAAACTTTCCGATCGATGCCTTCCGCTATTTCCTTCAGGTGCACAGATAATGCATCCTCCGAGGTAAATAAGTTTGTTTTCCTCCTCAGTCGAGATTTGATCGGTCCCGTATGTAGTGAAACGCATTGGGTTTGCAGTGTGGTGACTCGCTTCAGTCGTTTCTGGCGTTTCTACAGATACCCCATGCACATGAACGCACCAGAACATTGGATAAACATCACTAATTGTTTCACTATTCTTTTTCTTATTATTATTTATAACATATATATACATCTATATATACACACACATATATATACAAACGCATACATACATATATACACATATATATCTATCTATATCTATATATGTGTGTATATATATATATAAAATGCAATCGAATGGCGACGTTCTAAACACAGTTCATGGGAGGCAAACTCCAGTTAACCAGTTTCTTCTTATTCACTCTAATGTACACAACAACTTACCGTCAGAGGGAACTACGGTGACGCAACGGACCTCGAAGTCCTCCAGAAGCGCGTAGTCCGTACCGACAAAAAAAACCGTCAGACCGCCAAAAATTCGACTGCACTCGCAAACGCCGAACGCGCTGAACGTTCCGTAGCCCCAACGAGACAAACAACAACAACAAACAAAGTGAACAAAAAAAAGAACACAAAAAAAATATGAGAGGAGAGAAGAAGAAGAGATGAACGTAGATGGAGGAGGAAGAGAAGGAGGAGGAAGAAGAAGAAACCTAAACTGCTAATAATTTATTTTGCGAACGCACGTAACGTGCGTTCGCCCATACTCTTGTCACCTCATCCTTTCCCGTTGTCTTCTTTTATTCCACATAAGTAATTGCATCTTTATATTGGTGTATTTCATTACTTTGCCGCCTCTTCTATTCGTTCGGTTTGTTTTCGAATTGTAATAACCAAAAATGCATATGACGCATTAACAATTTATTGTTGCACAGCCCACGCCACCCAAAAGCGCAGCGTTTCTTTCTTCGTTGTTCGGACATCTTTAGTCTTGCAATATTGCTTTATATAAACAATTCGCAACAATCTGCTACTCCATCTAGTGGTGGATAGCTACTAATCGGCGTCGCTTTTTCCCTCTCTCTGTCACTCTTTCTCGCATCATCTTCCTCTCTTCCGGGTCATTGCCACATGTAACGCGCGTGGAATTTTTTTGTTCCAAACCTCTTACACCGATGTCCTTATGGTTGCATAGTCAATGCTTTGTTTGTAAATATGTTCCACGTAACCACGCTTGGTAGTTCAAACCCTCCAAGTTACCTGTAGCAAGACAATAGAACTACTTAAAAAAACAAGATTTATTTCGACGTACCAAAGCAAATAGTTTATCTAAATCCTTTCATATTCTTATAAAGATTAAACAAAATTAAACCAATCGTTTTATCTCTTAGTTTTCTATAAATATAATATTAACAAAATAAAAACAATCATTAGAACTAATTACCTTAAAGTAATAATGTCCTTGCAAAATCAACACATTTCAATGTCCTACAACATATAAGATACGTATTCAAGTATCTCATTTATTTAACTAATAACAGGTGCATTCTATATTCAAAGAATTACCCGTATGCCGGCTGTCACTGCAACAGATTTCTATTGCGTTTCAATCACAACCTGTAGATAAACGTTTACAGGTAGATGAAACGCCCAAGCTTGTAACAATTTGGACTAAAAAACAATAGTATTTAATAATTATCAGTAAAATTTAATTGTTATCCTTCAAAAAAAAAACGTAAAATAAATTATGTAGATAATTTTGAAAATACTGTGTCACACCCATTTCAGTAATTTGTATATTTGGTTGCATTTTACTGACAATTGAATCAACCAAAATTCATATAAAAATGACTTAAAAATATAGTCCTACAAATTATAATTTGGTATCATTATTGAAACATGAATTATCAGTTATACCTGAGAAATATGTAATTCATTTTAATTAATGTATATAAGATAAATGATATTTTTTTCGTGAATTTATCACATTTGCTTGATTTGACGTTGATATGTAACACATTTTTGCATCCTATAAAAAGTTTATTTTTTAATATTACAAAATTGTACATACTCTATTTACAACAGAGTAGAGGATTACGTTTATCTACAAAATTATTAGATTAGAGTCTAGTGTACACAGTATTATCAACGCAATATTTATATATTCGGAACTAGTGTTGAATCACACAAGTTATTGTTTAATTCAACGTCGAGCCTAGGTTCAAGGTCAATCAGTGTATTCGATCGACCAATCGAGCGAAAGTAGATTTAATAAATATATATATTTTTTTAAATTTACTATATTTAATTATAATTAAACAGAATTACAAAAAAAATGGAACGTAAAAATAAAATCGATTCTTCTAAGGTTTTAAAATTATTTATTTGAAGAGACTTAAAAATTATCATAATTCTATAACAGTAACAGACAAAAATACATAAAATCGCGTTATAAATAGATATTGCTTAATTATATTGCTATTGCGAACATGGTACATGAAATACTAGAAAATCTATCACATATAAGGAATGTAGTCTTGTAAGGTGGACTCCTATTATAAAAGTTACTTTTGGAAATTTATATTACAATTTGTATATAGTAATTAAAGGAAAATTACAAGATCGTTTAATATCATTATTTTTGTGTTTAAATATTTTTGAAAATAATAATACATTTAAACTTCCCGCCATTAAATGTTCCCCTCTTGTAAAATCAATGACTGAATACAAAATGGCGGATAGCGTTGGTACCAGGTAACAATTTTTTTTTAATGATTAAATTGAAAGATTTATTGCTTTCGTCAATCACATTCTGGTCAGTTCTTGGCTACGATTAATACAAGTAAGCTTTATATCTTGCAATCGATAAATCTTTAAACGCTGGCAGACAACCATTTGTCTTTGAATGGATGGATGAGAGAGATAAAGAGAGAGAGAAAGATAAATAGTCTACAACGGAGGCCTCTATCGGGTAAGGTCCTAAGTTTTCTTGTTTCTCAGCAATGCTTAACTGCATTTATCGTAGTAACTTAAGTACAATCTGGTTAAGTCCAATTGCCGCTGATTCAATTGGCAATTATGTTTCACTTATACTACATCAATGACTACCATTATTTCATTGAAGCCAAAACGTTTCTCAAGTGTTCACATAAATGAATACTACTAAATTACATTAAATCATAATTATAAACAATTATTATTTTCTTTGCCATTTTATTAATCATCCTCTTCATTTTTATATTCCATTTCTAAGGGATCGCAGTCCCCACCTTCGATACACCAAAAAAAATAAGTAATGCTAATAATAGAGAAACGCCATTTTTTTTGGCTCCTACAAATTTTTTTTTGCTTAATATCATATATATATATATTTCGTTTATAACTACAGGTCAAGAATAGAATAATCATGGATACGTATTTCCATTTGTAAGGTTAACTACAATTTAGGAAATTGTAAAGATGTTAAACTTTGTCTGGGTTACATACTTACTAAAAAAAAAAGTTTATCGCTGAACGAGCTGATATGTACCTTACTTTAAACTTATTACAATAGTATCAATAGAGAATTTCCATTTTCAGGTTACAACATGACTGAATCTTTATATTTAGTTCAGTCAGTGGTTAACATCTACGCGAAATAATCATATGGTTTTCCTGGGGAAGCACATTTTGAAAATACGAAGTTAATTTCGATAGTTATTTTTTTTTAAATATAAATTTAAGTACAATTCTCAGTCAATTTTTTTTTTGTTAGCTAGCGCTATACTAACGAATATGGAAATAGCTCTTTAAAATAGAACATTAGGTTATTGTAATACATGGATCAAGGATAAGACTCCTGTTTTGAACTTGGATTAGCAACAAGTAGAGTGTAAGAAATAAAAATGCAGTTATAACAGTAGGTGAAGAATTATAATAATGTATAATGAGAAGAGTTTATTAAATAATATGAATTATAAACTATAGTATCCATTTGAATTTCACTTGACTTAATCAACGTTTAGTTTAATTAAGATTGCTTTAAATCGTCGATTTTTTTTTAAATTTTTGCTTTTGGTCAAAGTGCCTCCCAAGAGAATAACTCTTTGGTAGGCGACGGTGGTTTCATTTCGTATTTAAACAGAAAATATAATGGAGGCTCCATAATAGATAAACAATGTAGGTAGTGTAGGAAATGGATGCACGTTTTCTTTCATCCGGAGAACGGTAACAGCTGTTCATTTTAAATACTCTCTAATATATATATATATTTATTTGTTCATTTTCTTTTTGTTCGATTTAACTTTTTCCAGCAAACAACAATATTTGGCTAAGAGCTTTGACTTTGGGATTAAATATGGTTTCGTTTTTGTGGTTTTTGGCCAATATACGTACCTTACCATGTATTTTCATAACATTTACTTTCGTATAAAAATTTGATTATGTGTATATAAAGATTTGTTATATAACATGTTCAAGCTAGGTGCATCGGGATGACACGTACCATAGTTATCGGGTCTATCCAGATACACCTTGCATCATGCTTTTTTATTTTTGGATGGGTTATCTTTGAATGCATAAACGTTATTTAATTGTTTTTTTTTCTTCATTTTTCTCTTTTTTTTCAAAGGGGTTTAATTTTTTTTATAATTTATTGTATTGAGTTTTGTCAACATGGAAAAGTACAAATATTGCATTACATTCGACCGGCTGGCCTGGAGTGCGGACAATTACAGTGCGATCCCGTGCAGTCTCCAAAAAGGGCCCTTCTGCACGGGCACAGATGGGTGGCAATGAAATAAAGGCATTGCCGTGGAATAATAATAATTTTCAAAAAATCGAACGCACTGTAATTGCGCCCAGCGCCAGCAGCATACGTTTATATTAGTATTCTGCTTATAGTTTCATTTTAGATCCTCTCTAGTCCGACAACCTGGTTCCCAGCTATGACACAGCCATCTGTAGAACGAAACCCAACGAATCAACCGAATCTAATCAATCCAAAGCCGGGACCAAAAAAAAAAACGTTATACTTAGCGCGCGCATGGGACATTGCCCTTCGAATCTTAGATCTTAGCTTCTTCTTTTTTTTTTTAATCCCAAGTTCAATTTGGTCTGCGCCAACGTGCATTCCGAACCTCCGTTAACTTAAACTTGTACAGACGTTCAAAGTTGATCTCGTTGAAAGTTAACCGAAGTTCGTAATGCTATTACGGAAGCGGTTAGTATAACGACGCCGTGGTTTCGTGACAGGCTACGGTTGGGGACGCCTATCCTCCTGTTGCCCGTAGGTTATCTT